CATCAATATATATATATATATATATATATATATATATATATATTTGCTCAGCCCCAATAGTTTTCATCAGACGAAAAGATGATGGGGGAGAATGTCATATATTTGCTCACCCCTTTGAAACTGACATATATTGTTTAAAAAAAAAAATAGAGTATAAAATCTAAAAAATACCTCTTGATGGCCTAATCGATTTCTGGGTACAGATCATAGATTACAAATAACACCCTTCGAACGATGACTGATGACCCCCTTTGAACTGCTTAGTTAAAAAATAAATTAAATTAAATTAAAATTTTCCCAAAAGAAGACCTGCTAATTTTACCTAAAAAAATCAATTTTTCGTTTCAGTTTTGTCAGGAAACAAACAAGCATTGATCAATAAACATCAATAGAAAAAATAGGAAGCAACAGTAAGAAACTAAGAACACTTCGAAGGAGAAGTGGTAAACCTGAATGGAATCCGAGTGGGAACGGCGTCAGAGTTTTGAAGGGCTCTGTTTGCTTTAGAGACGAAGTCACAAAACAAAGGAGAGGTTCACTTCAGCCATTCAGAGACAGAGATTTCAGAGATGAAAAAAAAAGAGTAGGATTTTTTAGGGTGATGTTGAGATTTCATAGAGAGGATTTAAAATCGATCACTGTTTAAAAAATTCAGGGATTTTACGATTTTAACGATTTCATATTAGTTACGATTTTATGTGAAATCTAAATCGTTTAAAATCGAGATTTTAAAATTTAAATCCTGATTTTAACTACCATGATAAAGAGTCCAAACCTAAGACAACTAACTTTCTTTCTTTCACATACATGATATGTCATTTATGCGCAAATCACACCGAAAGAGAAAAGTGAGAAAGAAAAAGTTTGAGCTAGACAATGTAGTTTAAATTATTTATTTGTTATATTTATGAAAGCGTAATTTTATTACTTTATTTTTTGCCATTAAAGTGGTGGGGGAACTATATTGATTTGTAGACTGAATCACATGCTGCTAAATATTTTAAATAGTGCTATTTATAAGTTCAGAAAGTTATGAAATTTATTATTATATTCTCCTACAACTTGCATGAATCTACTAGAAATATAGTATTTTAATTTTTTTTTATATTAAAAATCAAACCACTAGAGGGCTACGTCTAGACTGATGTTGACCATCCACTATGCTTTGAACTTTCAATCGGTGGCTGAGAAACTGATGTACAATAGAATTTTATAAGAATCTTAATCACTTTCTCAACCTATACACCTATAGGATCTCCCCACTCCACAAATTCGAGTTCCAACAAAAAAAACAACTTAAAACAGATGTAGAACAACCTTTCTACAATCATAATTACAAAAGAAATCGAAAAAATAGAAGAAGAACAAAAGATTATTGAGTTTTCTCTCAAGATATGTAAAATAAGCCTAAAATCATGAATAATGTGATTTGCAAGTATTCTTTATTTTTCTCTCTCAAAACTTGTTTAGAAACCCTAATATTATGTTTATATAGGTGTCTAGTCAAAGTACTAGCCGCTTATAACTGTTGGACTTCAAATTAGATCATTAAAGTCGAGTTATAGCTTTCTATTATAAGGTACTCGAGTAGATCATGAGCTTGTACTCGGGTAGGTGTTCTTGAGCCTTGTATTGGAGTACCTAGGCCTCGTACTCGAGTACACCATGTATTATGGTACATGATTATGTGCTACTTGAGTAACATCAGAACAAAAGCGTTGATTTTTATTATTTTCGATCCAAATCAACTTCAAATGATTTTTAATGACTTCTAACACATGTATGAATGTTTCTAGCAACATTTTAACAGTTTTTCATGTGTGTGTGATCATGTATGCATGATCGAAGTATGTAGGTTCCCATAATGCATGCTTATGAACTATGAGTGTATTTCTTGAAGATGGAGCTCAATAGTCTTCATTCTTTAAGTTTCTATACTTGATACTATATTTCTAACTATGTAAGCCTATGTGAGCCTTAGTCTTCATACTTCGAGCCTTTTAATGCCTTGTTTCACTTGAAAGCTTTGACTTGAGGGTTGACTTTGTCATTTTGAGTTATCCCTTGCTTTTTACATGTTTTGGTCTTCTATCACCATTTGGGATTTATTGCATTGTCTTCCACGATGTGCTTACATGTTGATCTTGTATGTGTTTTTCTATTATAAAAAATTAAGTACTTTTACCTTTGTAGCCTTTAGGGTTTAACAATCTTTATCAATCCCAATTTATTTGTTTATCCAAATTTTCTATGTGTTTTGGCACTAGTTGTTAATTAGAGCCGATTAAATTTAACTGATGGTTGAGCAAATTTGTGGTGGGTACGGACAATGAGGTCACGGTGATACAAGATGTCAATTCTTCCTAGAGATCGAGGATGAACAACCATGTTAAAGAGAGCTATGTGAAATAGAAAATGAAGAGCTATGATGTGGAGTCGAGGAACTGAGCAACAATTTGTGTGATTATACTTGTTTGTTCAAACCGAAGGGAAGATAGAATCTGGAAACCTATCTTATAACGAGTAGGGAGACATTAATTGCTTTATGCTTATGAGCTAGGGGTGGATCACGAAACTAGACATCTCTTCCAAACATTGGATAAAATTGAGATTCAATAGTTTAAGGCATTACTTCGCCTTCAAAGGTCATCCCTGCCCACCAATAAGAATGAACATTGTCACTCTAAGGCAATATAACCTAGATGCTAAATTATTATATATACAAAGCCACTAACCCCAAGTATGATAATCTTTCCATTCAAACTTGATAACATAAGATATCTACTAACTTGATTGTTGGAGTGCATTGTAGGTACTTTCCCCCAACCTCTTCAATCGATACCAAGAACTAGAGTTATTCCTTCATCCTAGAGTGTATCCCGCTAATCAAGAATTCATCTCACAAGAGCTTTATCTCGCAACACCAATCCTAGCAAGGCTCTTAACCTAATGGACCAGGGTCAACCCTGTGTGACCTAGCACCAGTCTATTTCTTATTAAAGAAACCACTCCTGGGAAATAACCCATCTATTTTGTGAGAAAAACACTTCAAGAGCCTGAACTGAGGTACTAACAGATAGAAAAGGTGGCATTCACATTAATAGTCATATTTTATAGTCTAAGACATTACTTCCAAAGGCATCCAATTAAAGTTAGAATCAACCAATCTATCAAAAAATCCTTAGGAAGCCAGATCGAGCAGGAAAGATGATCACTTCATCCATAGAATTATCAAAGTATGACATCTTGTACGAACCTAGGCTAGTAATCAAACCCAAGTATTGGCAGATTTCGTGGCCGAAATGACCCACCAAGAAAAGAAGGAAAAAAGTGACCACTAGATCGTATACGTGGATGGTTCCTCTAACACTAAGGGCGGTGGAGTAGGCTTCATAGTAGAAAATACACAAGGTATCATCGTTGAACATTCGATCCAATTTTAATTTAAAGCTTCTAACAATCAGGCAGAGTACGAAGCAATTGTTGTGGGATTAGCTATGGCTAAGGATATGGGAGTTACGAAAGTCATCATCAAAAGTGATTCATAATTAGTCATCTCGCAGATCCAAGTAACTTACCAAGGTATTGATGGTTAAATACCCATAGAAGGTGACTAATCTCATGTTGAGATTTGAACAAGTCAAATTTGAACACATCCTATAAAGAGAAGAATGCAAGGGCTAACATTCTCAAAACTGGCTAGCACCAAAACTCAACGAAATAATTGATTTGTAATTCAACAAAACATCTCACTCCCCAATATAGTAATGACTATCTCGAAAAGAAAGGTTGTTTCTTCAAATATCACTACACCTTTGGAAGAAGACAAGAAGAAAGATAATAATGAATCGTCCAAAGAACAAACATTGGACAAAGAACATTGTCTTAGGATAAGCAAGCAACCAAAAAGTTGATTAGAGCACCTTCTAATTACAACATCATCAATAATTAGTGCTATTGAAAATATTTTTCTACTCATTTGCTCAAAGGCTTAAACCCTGTTGAAGCACAATATGCCTTGACAGAAAAAATAAATGGACATCATATGGGAGAGAAATCATTATCCAACAAGCTCATACAAATGAGATTCTATTGGCCAACCCTTGAAGAAAATTCAAAGCATCATGTGCAGCACTGCATCAAGTGTCAAAAATATACATATATCCACCACGTGCCACCAAAAGAATTATCATCATTATTATAATAATCCAAATGACTGAATTACACTAATTAGAGATTAGAGTGTAATTATCGGTTAGTTAAATGAAAAGCCTAAATTAGAGCTAAGTCATTTTTGAGATATGTTGTTATATGTTGAAATTGATGGGCATTATGTGTGCCTTTGGTATATGTGTGTTGAACCTAGTGGTGGTTGTGTGTTGAAATCACCATTGGAGCCTTTGGAGGAATAGGGCTTTATCCGTACATTTGGAGAGCTTTGAGGTAAGTTTCTAACCATGATTTTGATGATATCAATATGGTGGTTTGAGTTGTTGTATATATGTACTATATGTGTTGTTGATTGGATATACACCTTTGGTATAGGTTGTGTTAATACTTGTGGAGTAATTAGCAATTTATTGGAAAAAGACAAAGGATTCTTCAAGAGGTAAATTCTTGGACCTTGAAATTTATCCTTTTTGTTCCATCATGCTTATTTGAAGTTATGGTTATGTATTGGTGTACGGACCAATGCATAAGCATTATAGGCTAAATTGTATAGTTAGTGTACGGACTCACATACAATTGAATGCTAAATTAATTGTTTAGTTATTTGGTCAATGGAACATTGTATGGATTTCTCTTCGGGATTCATCCCAAGAGGTACATACAAACCTTGGCTTTGAGGTATGGCTCATTGAAGTGATCATTAGATTAAAAAAAATAAATAAATTAGAATTTGAGTTGCTTTCATTATCTCTCTCTCAAATTTCAAAAAACGTTTTTTTTTATTGTCTTTTCAATTGTTCAATTGTATTTTTCTGTTTCTAGTTATACAATCTTAAGCCCTAAACCCTGAAGCAGGAAAGGTGCACGTGGTTGGAATCGTTGCAGGGCGTAGGACATGTCTAACCTTGAACCTGAGTTTGTGACCATTCGTGGCTACGAGCTCCGCCTCATTCGTTGCACCCTGAGTCCTTCACCGACGTCGGATCCACTACTGCCTCAATGTGAATCGTCCGATTCCGATAGCCTCATCAAGCACCTCTTGAATTCCATCGAGTGTGGAAACTATGTTGAAGCACTCAACTCCCAACCGTGGAGGCTCGTCTTCCAACTCGGCCATGACTCACTGCAACTGGACTCCGCCGACCGCCTCTACTCCGAGTTGGTGGACCGCGCCGAGTTATTTATCAGAGACGCCGCCGCTAGCGCCGCCGAACAGTCTCGCAGGGTCATACTCGTGATGTGCATCGCCGTCGCTGCATTTCTAGGGTTCACACAATGTAACTTCACCGGGTAAAAAATTTGAAATGCTAGTTACTGTTTGTTTGTTTTTTTATCACAAATCGTTTCTATTTGTTAATGTGAAGTGGTTGTATTGAATTATAGGCCTTTGAAGGAGAAGGGGTTACCGAGATGCCCTCTGCCTCTTGATGGTGATGATGAACATTTGGAGTGGGACAATTGGGCGCGGAATCAGCTTATGTCCGCTGGCTCTGACTTGCTTGGAAAGTTCTCGAATCTTCAGGTAACTTAACCAATGCATGCATTTAACGATTAACGACTCAACTTGAGTAATTTATTCGTGATGTTGATGTTCTTTTGTAGTATATAGTTTTTGCTAAGGTGTTGCTCATGCGGATGAAAGATTTGTCATTTGAGATTGGAAGCCTTTCTTGGTGGCTTGTGAGGGTTTTGCTTCTTCAACAGAGGATTTTGGATGAGCGCTCTTCTTCCTTGTGTGATCTCTTGCATGTCTATATGGGCGAAGCTTTACGACAATTTGGCACTTCGGAACTAGTTAAGGGTTATTGGGATGTTGGTTTACGTGATGGAGAGAGCTTAGCAATTGTCTCCATGCTTCAATTAGAGGCTGGAATTATGGAATATGCCTATGGACGAGTTGACTCTTGCAGGTCAGTTCAGTTCAGTTACTCTTGGATATTCGTGTTTCCTTTTTGGTTTCTTAGGAATTTTAGTAGTATAATTTTGTTTGCAATGGGAATGGAAGGTCTACTTTAGTATGTGTTACTTATGAGGTTCATTTTTTTCTTTTACTAAAGACAAGTTGGGTGGCAATAACTATGACACGTGGGCCTTAGATATTAAACTTTGGCTTAATGGGCAAGACTAGGAAGACATCTCAACACCAAGGCTGAATCTGTTCCTACTGTTGAACGCCCTAGGTGGATTAAGATTGATGCCCGTTTGTGCAATGTCATAAAGTCTACTATTCATCCATCTTTGAAACAAATCTTCCGGCCCATGTCACTTGCGAGTCTTCTAGCAGCAGGCTAAGGTTCTTTATAGTGTTTGCCATAACCTTATGAGTGTCATTTTGGGGAAGATTCATTGGGCTCTCCATGACTTAATTGAGCTATTGCCCCTAATAGAGACACCAACATAGGAACTTGAGCAACGAAGTATATTTTTCATTTTGTTAGCCGTTTATGGTTTGCCTCCAGAATATTCTACCAACTGTGATTAGATTTTGGGTTCACCTATTGTCCCCCCTCTAAACACAACTTGATCCTCCTTACTCCGAATCACGAACAAGCAATCCTTTGAACCCGACATGCCTCCTTCTCTTGTTGATTCCTTTGTGCTTGCATTCAAGATTTCTATCTGAGTTCATAAGTCCATCAAATCTCGTGTTCTATGTAACCATTGCCACAAGTTGGGCCTACCATTGATAAGTGTTGGCCCTTCATAGCCGCCCTCCTTGTACTGCCAATCTTGCCAGTACTCTTTGTGTGAACCCCCTATGTCTATTAAACACACAACACCATCTATGATCACCTATGCCAACTTTTCGAAATGGTTCTAGGAATGTCAAGCCTTTGGTTTTGTTGCCTGTGTTGTGTTGATTGGTAATTTCTTTGCTTGTCTATCCCATTCGTCACCCTTGGGACTTTGTTCTTAGACTCAAGTGCTATTGATCATGTCTCTGGTGAGAAATCTCTTTTCTTTGACATATCTATCTTTGGTAATTTGCCCACTAACACCTTAGCTAATGGTTCTAAAACACAATTCAATGGGGTTGACCCTCTCCCTTCTATTTTTGTTGATTTCGTTCTCTATGTTCCTGATTTTCCAGTGAACATGCTCTCTGATAGCCATTTGACCCATTATCTTGACAATGTTGTATCTTTCACAAATATTTTTGCCTTTTTACAAGACCGGAGTTCGAGATGGATGATTGGTGCCTTATGTGAGTCTCATGGCCTTTACCAACTTTCTAACCCATCTCGTGTTTGCTTTTTCACGGTTTCCCCTCTCACTATTCATGCCTAGTTAGGTCTTTTGAGTCTTGACAAATTGCAGAGATTGGTGCCAAGCCCGTCCAAGGCATCAAGTTTACCATGCGAGTTTTGTTAGCTGAGGAAACATGCTCATAGTTTGTTTCTTGATCGAACCTTTAGTCGAGCTTGTCTTGATTTGCTTTAGTGAACTCCGACCTTTGGGGTAAAGGTAGCCTCAATTGAAGGATGGTATTGTAATTTCACAAAGGAAATGCTATTTGAAGAATTTAGTGTTGAATGCAAAGCTGGTTGATACTCCTACGATTCCAAACACTAAACTCCTATCAAATCAGAGGGAGTCACTTTCAAATATAGGACAATATAGGTTAGTTGAGAAATTGAACTATCTCAGAATTTGTTGTCAATGTGGTAAGTTAGTTCCTCAATTCACCTTGCACTAAACATTGGGTGCCATGTTTTCCATCTTAAAATATGTCAAAGGTACTTTGGGGAAATGCACTATCTACGAAGAAGAATGTCACACTCAAATTGTTGGATATTCATATGCCAATTGGGCAAGTTCTTCTATTGATAGAAGTTCCACTTTTGGTTATTGTATATTCACAGGGGATAATTTGAAATCTAAGAAAAATAAGAAGCAAGATGTGGTCACAATATCAAGTGCCAAAATAGAGTATTGAGCCATAGCCTTAGTTAATGGCAAACTCATTTGGCTAAAATAACTACTTAGAAAGCTTTAATATGAAGAGGTTACGCAAATGACCCTAGTTTGTGATAACCAAGTTGCACTGCATATTGCATCTAATCTAGCATCTCATGAGAGGACCAAAACACATTGAGTAGATTGTCATTTCATAAAAAGATGATCTTATCTAGAGATATCGTCACTCGTTTTATCAATTCAAAGATTGGCTGCTCGATGTCTTCACTTAGGCTTTTAGGGGTTCTGAAATAAGTTATATATGTAACAAGCTTGGTGTATATGATTTATACGCTCTGGTTGGAGGGGTAGTGTTGAAAACCATGGATTTACTTGTACAGAGATTGATTTATTGTCTAGGTTCATTCATTACTTTTCTATGTTCATTGTATGTTGCTCCTTTTTTGGTCATAAAATGAAGACTTGGTTGTGTAGTTAAAACACACCGAATTCATCCAATCTCCCCTTGTTTCCTCCTCATTCAATAAGTTGTAATGTAATATTAGCGTAGTCATTATATTATAACTCTTGTTGTATCAGATTATAGTTCTTGTTGTATCGTTGTTCTGTTGTATCATATTCCTTTCTCTTCTATAAGTTTGTTGTTGATCTATTGTGTTAGTTAGATAGCTGTGACTCATTGCTGAGTCATCTTATAAATAGTCCTTGTATCAGAATTTTCAAAGTTAGCATTTCATTTTTACACAACTTAGAATATAATGAGTCTTTCACAATTTTTCCTTTTCTCTCGTTTTCCTAAACTTTCTCCCTTTCTCAATGGTTCTTGCACATTACTAATATGGTATCAGAGCTCCCTCTCTCTAATGGCCTGATTCAGTTAGATCTCCACTATGTCTTTTGCTTCCGACTCTGATTCCAACGCATCCGATGATTACTTGAAAATCCATTAAATGAAAATCAAGACAGCTTCTCTCTTTAATCTTCAGATATCTGCCAAACTTACTGAAGATAACTATCTTTTTTGGAATCAAATCATCGAACCGGTGATTACTTCGCATCATTTGCATCGCTTTGTTGTTAATCCAAAATTTCCTCTCAAATTTGACTTAGACAAAGATCGAGAGATTGATTAACTGAGCTCAGCATATGTCGAATGGCTTAATCAAGATCAGATGCTACTTTCATGGCTTTTTTCGACGATTTCTGAATCTATTGTCGATGATATTTTACCAGTTAAACATTGCTTTAAGGCCTGGGATAATATTCATAAGCTCTTTCATGGAGTCATGAAATCTCGCGCTCGTCAGCTCAGATCTGAGTTGAAGACCATGAAGAAAGACTCGAAATCCATTAAGGAATACCTAGCACCATGGTTGTCAAACTCGCAAGTTTACTCGTAAAATCGTACGAGTTTACGCTTCAGCAACCCCTATACGATCCCGTTTCTGCATTTAATCGCTTTTGGCTCTTATTTTGTAGAAGCGTTGAGTTTTTTGGCAAACTCGTACAATCGTACGAGTTCAACGATTTAACCAGAAAAAAATACCCGTTTGACCCAAATTTTTGACCCGAAAAACCAGTACATAAATGGGTTTTTTTTTAGAAAAAAAAAAATCCTAAAGCACCTGGTTTGTTTCAGTCACCACCATTGCAGATTGTGGGAGACGACGTCACGCGACTCACGATGACGCTTAAAGCCACCGTCTTCTCCGGTCGTCCCTTGCTTGCATGCTACTGCTTCGTCGTCTTGCCCTCTTCCGTTCGCAGCTTCTCCACGTCCATCACCATCGTGCTTCTACTTCGCCGTCGTGTCTCAATCTCTTCTTCGGTTTTTTTGTCTCAATCTCTTCTCGCCTCTGTTAGTGCTTTACTGAGTACTTTATTTCATTTCATTTATAAATCATTTTATTTTATTTTATAAAGCAAAACCATTTTATTTTGTAAAGCAAAATTAATTTTGCTTGGCTCTGTGTCCAATGGTAAACCGTAAATCAAATCAGATTTATTTGATAAATCAAATTATTATTTTTTTCCTTATGTTTGCCTCTGTTTGATTTTACATTCATTGGAAAAAATAAAATTAATCCAAATAAAATTAGTATAAATTAATTTCACTTGAGTTGTGGTAAGTTGTTTTTGTTCTCTTAATTTTTGCTTGCTGGATCAATTAAATTGTGGTTAATTTTTTATTATTTTTTGTTAATTTTTTATGACATTCCATCTCACTCCTTTGAGATTTGATTGATATATTGTTTTGGATTTTGATCTTTTGTGTTGTGACTTTATGTGTTTGAGACATTATGTGATTATGACTATTGTATGACATTATTTTGCTAGTTGGTTGAATTAAATTTGCTTATTATATTACTTTATATGCATATAAATATATATAAATATAATTTGTATCTTGTGTTACGAGTCTATGATACGTGTTACGATTCTGCGATTTACGATTTTGGTTCACCCTTCCGAGTTTGCATAGAATCTCGAGTTTGACAACCATGCCTAGCACGCATTAAAACTTTGTGTGATTCATTGAAATCGATTGGAAAACCTATCTCAATTTAGGAGCACACTACGACTATTCTCGAAGGCTTACCATCAGAACATACTTCATTTGTTATGATGATACGTGGACAAGAGCAAGATTGCTCTGTTGCAGATCTGACAGTGGAGTTAATGGCTCATGAACAACTCTTAGTCAAGCAAAACGACAATATGTTGTCAGAAGGAGTAACTGTAAACCTCAACCAGCGTCCTCCAAGCTCACACCAGGAAGTTACAGATGAAGGACGACTTTGTTTCTGAAGCCAGAAAACAGAGTCGAACAGGGCAATTTCAACAGCCAAGTTTTCCCTCTTCCAATGCTTACACTAGGCAAAACAAAGGACGTGGGCATTTTGTTACACGCTCCAATCGAGGAAGAAGACGTGGAAACAAAGTCAATGTTCACGGCCAACTCTGTTTCAAATATGGCCATGATGTCACTACATGTTGGCACCGTTTTGATGAAAATTTTGTACATAGCTTGCCACCTCCACAAAATGTGCCATAACCTCAGTTCTTTCAACAGCAGCAACCTCAAAGCTCACGCTTCTTTCAATATATCAGACCCTCAAATCAGCAACAAGTCTTTGTTGCTGCACAGCGTGGCTTATTTCCTACACCAAGCTCAATACCACTGATGGAATGGCTGTCAGATTCTGGTGCTTCTAGTCATGTTACAGGAAGAGCACAAAACATCACACAAAGCCAGCAACTAAATGGTTCAGATCAGGTTCTAATGGGAAACGGCCAAGGTTTGCCTATCACAGCCATAGGTTCCTCTTCTTTCCTTTCTCCCTTTGATTCTACTACTTACTTATACCTAAATAATTTACTTTTTTCCCCATCTATTACCAAAAATCTTATTAGTGAATCAATTTGCCAAAGGCAATTCAGTTTTCTTTGAGTTTCATCCTAATGTCTGTTATGTCAAATCTCAGGTTTCTTGTAAAGTGTTACTCCAAGGTGTTGTGGGAGCTGATGGACTTTATCGCTTCTCTGATATTCAATTTACTCCAAGGACTACTTCAATGGATAATAATCCTTGTCCCAGTGTATCTTTAATGACAAGTAACACTCATAATGTTTGTAATTCCAGTAATGTTCACTGTAATAATAATGTTGTCAATGCTGATAATAGTACCAACACTTATGGTAGTTCTTCTTACTCTTTGTGGCATTATCGTCTAGGACATCCACACTATGATTGTCTAAAAAATGTACTGAAAACTTGTAATATTTCTTTCAGTAATAAAATGGCTGGAGAACTTTGTCCTTCTTGTTGCATTGCAAAAGCTCATAGACTTCCTTCATCACCTTTCACTTCTCATTATAAATCTCCTTTTGAACTTGTCTACAATGATCTATGGGGACCTGCACCCATTAAATCTACTTTTGGCAATACCTACTATATATCCTTTGTTGATGTTTATACAAGATATACTTGGATCTATCCAATTAAACAGAAATCTGATGCTATTCTTCTGTTTAAACAATTCCATGCAATGGTTACAATTCAATTTCAATAGCCCCTAAAATCTCTACAGACAGATTGGGGTGGGGAATTTAGAGTCTTCACTCAATACCTAAAACTTCATGGAATTGATCATAGAGTCACTTGTCCACATACTCACCACCAAAATGTGTTGTAGAGAGAAAGCATAAAAACATTGTTGAAACTGGCCTTGCTCTCTTAGCTCACTCTTCTCTTCCTATGCACTATTGGGACTATGCCTTTACCACTGCTACCTATCTCATTAATAGACCGCCTTCATCTGCCATTGAGTTTGTTGTCTCATTCACTAAATTGTTTGGTCAAAATCCAGACTATAAATTCCTAAAAGTCTTTGATTGTGCATGTTTTCCCTTCCTTCGGCCTTACAACAAACATAAGCTAGAATATAAGTCAAAAGAGTGTGTATTTCTTGGCTATTCTCCAAATCACAAAGGATATTTATGTCTAAGTTCAGATGAGAGAATCTATATGTCTAAAGATGTCTTATTCAATGAATATAGATTTCCCTATACTTTATGGAGCACTAATAACTCATCTCCTTATCCACTATCTACTCCTATTTCTATTCCTCTATTCATTAAGTCATCAAATTTACCTCTCCCTTTACCTCTCACACCTCCTTACCTGTGCAACAAGATGACATTTCTAATGACATTTCTCAGCTTGACAACTCTAATAATTTCAATTTTGCTGCTCAATCCACTGATGTCAATCACAGTCCTTGTCCTCCTATTGAAGCTCAGGCTCCTGCTATTTCGTTTCTCCTCAGGTTCCCAATAATTCTGGTTCTGGCTCTTCCAGACATTCCACTGATATTTATCAGAACTCTTCTCATACCACTGATGTTCAGGTTTCCAGTCCATCCTGCTCCTCATCCTCTCAGTCATAATATGCTCCGTCAGCATCATTAAGTCCACCATCTTCCACTAATTCCAAAACTATGGCTAGAAACTTGGCTCTTCTCACTCACACTGAACCTACATCAGTGAAGCAAGCCCTCACTATCTTCAGGCTATGGAATTAGAGTTTGCTGCTATACAATCTAACAAAGCTTGGTCTCTTGTTCCCTTACCTGCAGGCAGGGATGTTGTTGGCTGTAAATGGGTTTTCAAGGTCAGAGAAAATCCCGATGGCAGCATCAACAAGTATGAAGCAAGGTTAGTTGCTAAGGGATTCCAAGAAAGAGCTGGTCTAGATTATAATAGACCTTTTCACCTGTTATCAAGCCCATGACAGTTCGGACTATGCTTACCATTGCCCTTACTTATGGTTGGACTCTAAGGCAACTAGACATCAACAATGCCTTCCTAAATGGCCAATCTACAAGAAGAAGTCTACATGCAACAACCTCCAGGTTTTGAGAGTGAGGACAAGTCCTTAGTTTGTAGACTACACAAGTCCTTCTATGGTCTCAAACAAGCCCCAAGGGCTTGGTTTGACGGACTTAAAGAAACACTGCTTTCCTTTGGCTTCCAAGCTAGTAGATGTGATCCTTCTCTCTTCATTTACAGATCTGGCCCTATGAGAATTTTTATGTTAGTCTATGTTGATGACATTATAATTAATGGCAGTGATGCTCCCTTCATACAGTCTTTGATCTCTCAGCTCCACTCTAAGTTCTCTCTTAAAGATTTGGGTGATTTGGACTATTTCTTAGGGATTGAAGTTAGAAGACAGTCCCATGGTTCTCTGATTCTCACTCAGACAAAGTATATTCGAGATCTTCTTCATAAAACTAATATGACTGAAGCTAAGTCTATCTCTACTCCCATGCCTTCCAGCTGCAAGCTGGTTCCAACTACTTTGATGACCCTGCTTTGTATAGATCAATTGTTGGGGCACTCCAATATGCCACCATTACAAGACCAAAAATTAGTTTTTCAGTGAATAAAGTTTATCAATTTATGTGCCAACCTCTTGTGGATCATTGGAAGATAGTCAAATGTATTCCCAGATATCTTCAGGGTACTATCTCTTTTGGTCTTTCCCTCTCTGTAGCTACAGCTCACCCGTCTGCTCCTCTCTTTGCTCTGACTGCCTTTTGTGATGCTAATTGGGGTAGTCATCCTGATAACAGGAGGTCCACATCTGGTGCTTGTATTTTTCTTGGTCCAAATTTGGTCTCTTGGTGGTCTAAGAAACAACCACTTATAGCTAGATCCACAGCTGAAGCTGAGTATCGCAGTATGGCCCTTGTCTGCTCTGAACTCTTGTGGCTTCAATCACTTTTCTAGGAACTAAATTTGCCTCTGGTTGTTCCCCGCATTTCTTGTAATAACCTTAGTGTAGTGACCATTGCTCATAACCTTGTCCTTCATGCTCGGACAAAGCATCTAGAGCTGGATCTTCGTTTTGTTCCAGAGAAAGTATTGCTCAAGCAGATTTCTGTTGTCCATGTTCTTGCATCTGATCAACTTGCGGACACTCTTACTAAGCCTCTCTCCCTTGAAACTTTTGCTCAATTTCGTGCCAAACTCATAGTTCTGGACTCTACCTTGCAACCCCAGCCCTGATGAGTTTGCGGGGGAATATTAGCGTAGTCATTATTTTATAACTCTTGTTGTATCAGATTATAGTTCTTGTTGTATCGTGGTTCTGTTGTATCAGATTCCTTTCTCTTCTATCAGTTTGTTGTTGATCTGTTGTGTTAGTTAGATAGCTGTGACTGCTGAGTCATCAACGGTCATCAGCGTTTCTTATAAATAGTCCTTGTATCAGAACTTCTAAAGTTAGCATTTCATTTTTACACAACTCAGAATATAATGAGTCTTTCACAGTTTTTCCTTTTCTCTCGTTTCCCAAACTTTATCTTCCTTTCTCAATGGCTCTTGCACATTACTAATATGTAAGAACCCACCTTGAATGCTTCAAACATGTTTGGAAACGTGATTTTCAAAAGTTCCAAAAGTAACTACACTTTTTATAATGTTAGAAGATACATATGTTGTAAAATTTTCCTGGAGAATACTATTTGAATGTTGAAATAATACTTCATACTTTTGATTCTTGTGTGGTGTCCTTTTATGACAAAGTACCTTATCGTATCAGGACACATTTTGAGTCAGCTGAGATGGCAGCTGGGCTTCAGCTTTCAGTTACTGGGGTACTTGGTTTTCGTACTGTATATCAGGTAAACATAGTAAATTGCGTGACCAGCATGTTTAATGGAACTTGCCTTTTAATATGTAATTTTTGGACATAGGTAGAACCAAAGGCACAAATGGTACTCGTTACTAACACAAGTTCATTAAATAATGTGGATAACTGCCCTTTAATGGGTACTGGCATCCAAACACGTGATTCCAGCACTGGTGAAGATAACTTGCATTTGCATCAGCATGATACCTCTGAAACATCTGGCGTGCTCCTAATACCAAAGTTGTTAGAAAATGATGATGACTCTAAAACTAGGCCAGAAGGCATGGAAAATGGTTCTCATGCTACTACCAGTTTGACAGCGATGCAACAGGCTGTAATTCTAGCATACTGCCTTCTAATTGAGAAGAGCTCCCGACATGATGAATTGCAACGTAAGTTGCCTTAATTTGTGCATGCATCCATGATATTATGCCTTAAGTTTTTTAATCTTTTAATTTGAAACTATCTCTGATATGTGATATAGTGGTCTTCTAGCCAATTTGTGTTGTCCAGCTAAGGCTTAAGAAGTGAAAGGAAGTTTGGAGTTTGGATCAATTGAGTATAAATTTTGGTTTACCTTGACTCAGCAGCTGTTCTCCTAGGTTACTGTTGTAACTCTGAACGTTTAATTTTCGATTAATGTTTGTAAATTTATACTACTTTAGTTTGAAGGGTTTATTTGTCTCATATTTTAAGTGAGTGGGTTAATTGCCAAAACTGGAACTACTGGGGGTCAAAGTGGAAGGAGGTCAATTGCAACATAGCTATGTTTGTTGTGTCCGATGAGAGGAGAGCTTCCTCTGAAGTAAAAGATCAATTTCAGTCGTCTTGTGTGTTTTTTAAAGTTGATCCCGTGTCCAATTAAATATTAAAGAAGCAAGTTCCTTAAATTTGTGCTGTTCGCTTGATCAAAATTGGGACAATGTTAGTGTATAATGCTCAGCCAGGTGGTACTGGCATGTTTGTAGTTAACTAGTATAGTAGTTAGCTGGTATCTTTTCCTTCAGTTCCCCGAGGTTGTCTTTCACTGGTAGGTCATCTATAAGTACCACTGTAAGCCCTCTTTGAGGCTTGTTCATGAGCTGACCTTGGAATGGAGAAGCCTCCCCTCTACCTGAACTTTTTATGCACCAAAAAAAGATGATTTCATCTCCTCACCAACTGGTTTACTGTGCTAATAACTAATCTTAGCCTTCTCCTTCATACAAGAACCAACACTAAGGGATCTACTGTTTATGGGTCTATTTCCCGTTCTTTTTCTCCTTTTAGAGCTATTTATGTTTCTGTTTTAATTTAAAACACACTAATTTTCCTGAAAAGCGGAAAAAACAAAATGGCTTTGAGCCAGCTAGTTGTTCACTTGTGCTATGTTTGTTTCAGATTTTCAAGGCCATCAAACAGCTGTTTAGCCAAAAGAAAATTTCTCTTTTTTGATTTTCGTGCCTTGTAATGCATGTTTTTTCTGTTTGCATTTGATGGCATCTAAACTAATCATATTATTAATTGCTGGCATGTAACTTGATTTCAGGATGGGATATGGCCCCTTACATTGAGGCAATTGATTCCCAGCATTTGTCTTTTTTTATTGTAAGTTGACAAAAATCTACAACTTATATTTGTTTGAAAATGAGGCTTCTGTGTACCATAAAGGAAATTTTGTCATTGCTCATGGTGTTTACATTCCTTTATTCAATGTTTTACTTTATTTGTATTGTTTGTAAACTATTTTCTGCATTTGATAATTTTCTCTTTCCTGCTTTAGATACGGTGTTTCTGTGATATCTTGCGTATTCGGTGGGAGTCATCCCGTAATCGAACAAAGGAGCGTGCTTTACTGACAATGGAAAAATTGGTATGAGTTGTTTTGGTTTACATGTTAGCTTGAGATTTTTAAAGTATGAAGTTTTTTGGCACATCATATTCCTGTATGCCTGTTATAATGAAAGGTTGTTATAATTTCTTAATAACAAAAATTTAGATATTAAACTTCTCAGCAAAAAAAGATACTTCGCTATCAACTTGATTTAAATGTTTTTTATTCATTATTGTTTATGCTGACCAAATATGGATCAAAATCAGTGTGTATTATACTGAACTAAAAATCCTCAGTAGATGCCATTTTTCTTAAAGCGATTGGTGTTCCTTATTTGTTCTACTACATATTTCATTCCATTTAATCATTTTTTGAGTGAATGAGGTTAACTATGTTTAACTTTTAATATAATACATTTAAGTTTTTTTTAATCTTTTTACCTATAATTTTTTTTTTTAATTTATTTATTTATTTTTATCATTCTGCTGTCTGCAACACTGGAGTTGTATTGATTTGTTTACTGGAGATTGTTATTGCTGCAGCACCTGATAAAAACATACTAAACCTTTTGCAGGTGCAGCGCATTGATGAATCTTCTCCAGCAGTAGCAGAAAGAATTCCTTTTAGTTATGGTGTTTATTTGCCTTGCATTCCCGCATTAAAGAAGTATAAACTTTGCTCTGTATATTCTAGACTTTATAATGATAATGCCGCCCCCCCCCCGCCCCACCTTCCTCTTTTCTCCCAAAAAAAAAAAGGAAATGTTAAAATTTTCAAACTTTTTTGTATTTTAGCTTCACAAATCAGATGACTCTTTAATTCTCTTGTTACTTTCCTTCCAATTTCAGGGAGCATGGTGAACTTTTGGTGCGCTGTGGTTTGATAGGGGAGGCAGTGAAGGTGTTTGAAGATTTAGAATTATGGGATAACCTTATATACTGCTACAGGTATGATAGCACCTGAGACGAATAAACCAAATGAATTTTTTTTTTTTCACCCTTCTTTAGCAATGAGTTTGATATTTGGTTTGGAAAACAGCCTGTTGGAGAAGAAAGCCTCAGCTGTTGAACTCATCAGGAAATGTCTTTCAGAAAGACCAAATGACCCCAGGTTATGGTATGTTAATTGGCTATATTAAGTGTTTCCTTAATTAGATTGTGATTGCTTATGAAATCAGCTACTCTGACTATATCTCTGATAAGTTGCAATGTAGCATATGTACAGGTATAACAACTAGTGAACATGGGGAAAGGCTCTCCAAATCTTTTAGCACTTTAATATATTATATTTTTCTATCAAAAAATATCGAACACTTATTATTGTTGCTTATTTTTTGTTTTTATCTGATTCTTCTAGGGGGCTATGCTTTTGAAGAATTTTATTTTGTTGCTGCATCTATCATAATTGTTTTAGCTTAAGAGAGAAAGTTAGGGGAAATTTTAGCAATGATAACTACAAAATGGAACTTTCAATTAGGATTGGGTATAGGTGATCTTCTGAATTTTTGTGCATAAGTGTTGATATAATAGATTTGTTAGAGATGTAATATAAACCATTGTTATGTCTTCACTTAACAGCTCAAAGTTTTAGGAGAGTTAGTTCATGACATGGTACCAAAGGCTAATAAATATATAATATATTCTAACAATCTATTTCACTCATGCTAATAATTTACTAGGTGCTCCCTGGGTGACACTACCATTAATGACGCGTGCTATGAAAAGGCCCTGGAAGTTTCAAACAATAAGTCTGCTAGAGCTAAGGTGCGCCTGTGTATAGATGTGTGTGTGTCTTTGTATTTGCTTCTACAATATCACAAAAATTTTAAACTAACATTTTTTTACTTAATGGAATTGTTTTCTCTGATTGACAGCGTTCTCTGGCTCGCAGCGCATACAATAGAGGAGACTATGAGACATCTAAAATTTTGTGGTGTGTATTGTATCCTGAAGCATTTCACTTTCATCATCATTGTCTTTGTCATTACTATACTTGTAACTTATGTTGTTTTGATTATTAAAATTGTTATTTGGTTAGATATGTTAAATATAGTAAATTTTGTTCATTAATTTCAGGGAGTCTGCAATGTCAATGAACTCTATGTATCCAGATGGTTGGTTTGCTCTTGGGGCCGCTGCATTGAAGGTAAATTGTGTGATGTCCACACTGTGCTCGCTTATTATTTATTCACTTCTACATCATAGATTTGCAATAAAATGTACAATTACTCTTATCGGATTCCCCCCACCCCCCCAAAAAAAAGTACAATGTCTTCTTGCAGGGGGAAGTCAAAGTGGCTCTTGCTGCTTTGACATGCGGCAACAATACATTAATATTGGGCCAATTTTGGTGAATTGGACAGGTAGCTGCAGGCATGTTTAATATAAAAAAGATTTAAATGCAGACAGTTAATTTCTGTGAGCCACTTTTGCAATTAGGCCTAGATTGCCACTTATGCAGCTGTGTACAGTTGTGCATGCCTTTATATATATGTGGCATCACCTGATTGGTTTGACAGGATGGGCACCAATGCCCATTTTTTTACAATGGCTAATGCAGACTTGTCCCTCCTTTTTTTGTATTTCTCAATTTTGTTTTCATTAGTACTTCAAACTAACCATGAAAGTTTTTCAGGCCCGGGATATTGAGAAGGCTTTGGATGCATTTACTCGTGCTGTTCAACTTGATCCTGAAAATGGGGAAGCTTGGAATAACATTGCTTGCTTGTATAAAGTTCTAACTTTCTTTTTGTATTAAAAAATCAAACGTGGAAAATAGCTTAGTTTGTTTCGGTGAATAAATTATTCTTTTCTCATTTTTTTTGGTCCGTCAGATTTTGGGCTACCTAATAGGGAGAAAGCCATCCCCTTCCCTCATATTTTACCCAATCACTCCCAGTTAGGTTTGAATTTGATATCTCCAGCTTAGAGTATTTGCTGCTTAACCATTAAGGTGTCTCCTTAGGGCTACAATTGTATCTTTATACCTTTCTAGAGACTGAATCTAAATGGCTTCACCCAGAGTTTGACATTCTAATTATTCATTTGGCAAGCTCTCCCTTTAACCTTGGTATCACAGTTATGAGCTCAATAAATAGAAGTATAGAGCTTATTATATCCAGTCCAAATTAAGGGTGTGCATGGGTCGAATTGAACTGAATTTTTTGAAGAACTGAATCGAATTGGTTTAAACAGTTTGGTTCAGTTCGGTATGGTTGAAAACCAATTCGGATCGGTTTGAAAACAGTTCTGAAACCGGTTCGAGTCGGACCTATTCTGAAAAGAAAAGAAGAGGAAAAAAATTAAAAAAAATTACAGAAATAAAGTAGTAAAACGGTTGGGTTCGTTTGAAACCGGTTCAGTTCGGTTCTTGAACTGGTTCTTTAAAAACTAGTTCGGTTCATGAACTAGTTTTCAAAAATTGGTTATTTTAAGTGCAGTTTGGTTCAGTTCACAGTTCAGTTTAGTTTTTTGATTCTTTTGCACACTCCTAGTCCAAATTAGTAATAAAAGTTCAGTTGTAATGGGTTATTAAATTTTGGTTACGGGTTCTTAAATTTTGGCTTCTAGTTTTACTTATTGCATGTTTAACCTAATGTGCAGGCATTTGATCAAGAAAAAGAGCAAGGAGGCCTTCATTGCATTTAAAGAAGCCTTGAAGTTCAAGTTTCGTACTTAATCTTTTTATTAAACTTCCTTTTTGTCATATTATGGGCATGTGCTTGCATGCTTAGATGCACACGTACATAGAACATGTGTATTGGTTCATAATCATTGCGAATTTAGCCATCTACAATATATAGTAACACCATGGTACATGGTGACAGACGAAACAGCTGGCAACTCTGGGAGAACTACAGCCATGTTGCTGTTGATGTTGGCAATATCAGTCAGGTATTTTTTTGTTTTTCTTCTTTTGTTGATCAAAACAAGTCTTAGTATATGATACATAAGGGTTTCTATGTGGCTTGAAGTAATTATATGTATTGAGATATATAAAATCATTAATGTAGCTTCACTTAACAGCTTAAGCTTTTGGGTTGAATTGGTTCTTTACATGGTATCAGAGCCTCGTATCCCGGGTTCGATCCTCGCCGCCCCCCACTTTCTCTAGTGAATTTTTTTTCTTTGCACAGGTAGGTGGGCCTGTGCATCGTCCACCCTTCAAGTCCAGTGGGCTCTCGTGTGAGGGTGCGTATTGAGATATATAAAACCATTAATGTAGCCTCACCCAACAACTTAAGCTTTTGGGTTGAATTGGTTCTTTACAATAAAAGAGAAAACATGTTTTCCATGTTGTTTCATATCTTGTGTGCCCTCATCCTTAATGTTTCTTTACACATGAGAAATCCTTCTAGATGATTACTGGTATATAATTCTGCTTTGGAGGAATTGCTTTATTAAATAACTTCTAGTTTAATATAATTTTATTTTTACAAGAAAAAGAAATTTATTGAGACAAAAAATAAAATTACAAAGAAAGGAGGATAAGAAATCTCCTAAACAAAAGATCAAAACAGAAAACAACTTAGAAAAAGGAAAACCAATGTAACAAATTTCTGAATCCCTCAACATATGTTAGTGAAACCCCATTAAATAGGCCATGCGTTTTACATCAAAATAGACACCAAGTGCCGATTCTCGTCCCCAATCAAGTGACGAACCAAAGAAACCTTAATTGTACCACATGCACCAAATTGTAGCGTAGACTGCATATTGTCACAAAAATTTGGCTTCATTTCTATGAAAACCATGAAAGCTAATCATCATGAATTGGTCCAAGGATCCAGGATACACCCAATATTCACTGAAAATGCTGGGTGAGAAGATAGATGAATACAGTCAAGGGCCCCCAAAAGACTCCAATTCAGTAAATTGTGTGTCATTTAAATTATGAAGAAAGTGGATATTCCATATTAAAAAAAATCTTGGACGCTAAAAATAATGGTGGATAGGAGAATCATGTACAGAAGAAAGACGATAAAGGCATGTAAAGGCTCAACTAAAAGGGACATATGTTACAGTGTTACCCATAGGTCTTCCCAAAGTTTTATGTGAGAACCACTACCCTCCCTCAAGGAAAGTTAAGGCTTTAGAGGTAGCATGATAAGACTCAAGGAAAATAAGATGCAGAGAGTGGTATTCTCCTCTGGAGGTTTTCAGATTTACATTACATCATCGTGCTTGATTTTAATCCTTTAATACAATTTATGCTATTAAACCAACTAACCCTCCTAATTTGTCCCAATACTTTCCTTTAATACTCAGTCAGCACCTGAAATGATTTTTTTTTTAAATAACATTACAAATATATAGTACTTAACTTTCAGTTCTTAATTCTTCAGTGCAATTGTAAAGTTGAAACTGTTATATGATAAAAAAAATAAACAAATTTAAAGGCTTTTCTAGTTTAACAATTATTTTAAAATTTCACCACAGCATAAAATGCAACATGGGCGTATTACTAAGAAATAGTTCTTTACTAAAGGCCTTACTTTTGTTGATTCTTTGTTGCTCATCTAGTTTGATAAATCCTTTTAGGCACTGGAAGGTGCCCAGATGGTTTTGGACATGACCAATAATAAACGAGTTGATACTGAATTATTGGAAAGAATCACAAGGGAGGTGGAAAAGCGGCTTTCAACAAGTAATTCTGTGGCTCCTGTGAGAACTGATAATAAGCCTAATACAGATCAATTCTGCATTGTTGATTCTGGATCAGAACTTCAAGAGAAAATATCCGGTGTATCTGTTGCTGGAAGATCACGTGAAACTGAGCATTTAATTCTGTTACTTGGAAAAGTTTTACAGCAGGTACACAATTCTATTATGTTTTGTATAGATTCCTTCTTAATGATGTGATGTGTGAACAACCCACACCCCCCAACCCCTGGCAGCATGGCCAAAGTGGATTCTCTTCTTAATTGTAAATAGCATCAAACTTCATCAGACTGCCTGTGGCAGTGCGACTCAATAATGTCTGCTCTGCAAGTTAAATAAAGGTTAAGCCAAAGATATGTGGCAAATGCATGTTTCAGATGTCCAGTTTTAATATTTAATACTCTATTACAGATAGTTAAAAATGGGAATGGATGTGGACCCGATGTATGGGGCTTATATGCCAAATGGCACAGGATTAATGGAGATCTCATGATGTGTTCTGAAGCCCTCTTAAAGCAAGTTAGATCACTCCAGGTATTTCTCATAAGGTTCAGCACATCTAAGATATCATTTTTATCTAAAAAATATTACACATAACTTTTATTGCATTGTACATTGTTTCTTTCATGAATTTTTTTTACATTTTATTTTAGAAATATAACATAATTATAAAAATTGGTTTTCATTTGGATTATGTAACACCCCGTGTGCACCCGGTGTATTAACATACATATGATAGTGTGCGCAGCATGCTGAACTTAATGAATGCGGAAGCTAACTGAATAAATTTTCTCTTTTTCCTTATGTATTGCAAACTTTTTCACTTCCATGGCCAAAATAAAACAGACAACATTTCCTCTGTATTTTGGACCACTGGGGATAATTCCCACCAAGACAATTTCAACCTGATTGGCAGTTTAATATAATCCAAGCATAAGCCATATTACCTAGCCATCCATGGCGTAGGCTATCTCATAATCATAACAGGTCTCAAAATAATATCCATAGAGTTACCTACATGATTACATCAACCAACTAAAAGAGATGTAATCAAATAAGTAACATAGACATATATAGACATAACTGACAAAATAGCTAAACTATCAACATGGCATAGACATCTCCTATGCTCTCAAAATAATGACATGGCATATAGATACATCCAAAATAAAACAATGCCAAATACGTATCAGCATAACAAGCTAATCCTGACTATTAGGTCAGGTAATACCTCTCGTCTGGCTTCTTGCCATGCTATGCCTCAGCACCATTAGCTCCTGTACCTGAAATGGTAATCCCCATAATGCGGGGTGTGATAATATAATTATCTCAGTAAGCTAGGGATCCTTGGAGGGCTCCTCCACCCCCTTAGCTCACTTCTGGTATAAACACAGTATAAAAATCCATGCATGCATCAGAATATGTATGACAATGCAGTGTGCAATAATGTAATCCTACTGGCAAGAGAATATAACAAGTATGCATTACTCAAGGAAACACCGTCTTGCAACGTACTGTATGAGGAAACACTGTCTCATACTATGCATAAGGAAACATTGTCTTATGCCTCACACAAGGAAACACTGTCTTATGTGGCACACAAACATACATACATATACATGCAACATATAATATTATTTTCACATACCATATCAAACTACTATCCTCCCTCGGAGTCTAGTGGAACAAACGGGGGATTTACCCCAAGGACCGAAAGCTTACCTGGAATAGCGCTTTTACTAGCCTCTTCCAAGTCAAAGGGTCCACAAGCCAACAAAATGCTCAACAAATGACTAAAACACCTTCCATGGTGAATTTATCACAATTAAACATATATCCATTTCATATAAGTTTCACATCCAACCATTGTTTGATACTTACCTCAATCTCAAATAATCAAGAGCCTCGCTCAGTGTCCATATCTTGCTCTAGTCCATGCTCTTACTTCATAAGTCCATTTGGTCTCACACTATAACCAATGAACACATTTACATCATTATCTATCAAAATTTCATATATACGGTACTGTTCATTTCTTCAGTACTATTTACGTATACGTCACTATTCATGTATACGACACTATTCAAAAATATGGTATCTTTAATTTTTCCGAATATATTTTCACCGTTAAAATCCCCATCTAAACACTTTTCTCAACATGAGCTAAGCCTCAATCAAGCTCTAACATGCTCAATCAAACCAAACTTTCAAAATAGAAACCTAAATTCAATCTTCCTCAAAACTCAACGAAAACTAGGATTTCTTAACATAAACTTACCTAGAATGAAGGAGAAAGCTTACTTCAAGCTCCCATAGCTTCAAGCTCCATCAAAACCCCTATTTTCCATGAAATTCGAAATCTTAGAGGAAGAAGATCTATCTCTACAGTGAACCCCACCCAGAAATACTGGTACCAATGGATTCTTCTCGAAATTTCTTACAAGTTTGGTTTTGGAACGGAGTGATTTGGAGGTCTCTAGCTCAAGTTATGAATTTTGGAAGATTTTCCATCAAAATCTCCTATTTTTCTTTCCTTTTCGTGCTCTGTCTCTGCCGTGGAAGAAGACTCAAAATGAGTAGGAAATAGTGACTCCTTAGTCACTTAAGTGAGTTCATTATACCAGCGGGTATAAGCTTATCTATCTACACATCTCCATTCATTACCAAACTTTACCCAATGGACTAGAATCTTTTTCTAGTCATGTTTCTAACTTTACTTTCACTTTTTGGGTAACTTTGTTTACACACATTTTTACTCCTTAATTGTCATTTTAACTCATTTTTCACCAAAGGTGGTTTTATTTCTTTTACTTCTAATTATTCTTCAATATTAAATCCACAACTACTAGTGAGGGTTATTATAGATTACATGCAGATATACAACAAAAACAAGAGCTATAAACCTATGCTCCATATCCAAGAATCTGTGCAGTTACATCACTAAACCTTACAGATTTACAAAATAAGCATTGCATACAGTGTTTTTTCTTTTTGGTGAATACATGCAATGTTTTTGTTCTTTTATGTGTTCTTTTCTCTAAAAGAGGTTCAACAACATTGGGGACATAGTAATGTTTTATCTTTTGATTATCAAGAGCAATGATCCCTGCCTTTGTCATGTTAAGTATCTTTGATATCTTTGATTTTTTACTTATTTGGTAGCTCTCTGAAATCTCTTATACGTTTATTGTCTTGATGATAATTGTTCGCAGCCAACTCATTGTAATTATTTTATTTTACTATCGTGCGATTGTATTCTTTCAGGGTTCTGATACTTATAATGACCGAGATCGCTTCAAAAGGTTTGCAAAAGCATCTTTGGAACTTTGCAAGGTGTACGTGGAAATTTCCTCATCTACTGCCAGTATTAAACCATTGTTTACAGCTGAGATGCACTTGAAGAACATCATTAGACAGGCAAGATAAAATCTAAAGTTTCTGATGTTTGAGGGTCGAAAAAAGTCAAGAAACAATGTGTTCTTTGCTTGTTTTACTCATGTTTAAATCTGCTTTGTTAGCTTGTCTTGCCTATCTGGTAAAGATTTTCTAATTTGTTTCTTGTATTCTCAGGCTCAGAGCTTCTCCGATACAGAAGAGTTCAGGAATCTTCAAGCTTGTCATGATGAAGTGAAAATTAAACTCCAATAGAATTCAATGCCTAGTTAAAATCTTGTCGAAGGTATTATTCGATTTGTTATGTAAGTTATAACCTAAAGGTTTGACCTGCCGTGATCTGATTGGAGGTGATCCCACGAATCTGCAGAGGCATATACTAAGAATGGCCGTGCATGTAGCTTCCCCATTTCCATCGACAGAGAACGTTAAAAGGTTGCTTCCAGAATCCTGAAATTGGCAATATTACAAAGGGATAAATGTTTATCCCTTTAAAGGACGTTCCTTTTACTTAAAACTAGAGTGGATGTTGTGTACTAATATGTAACATTCTCTTAGGGGACGTTTGGTTGAGGAGAAATTTTTGAAATACTAGGGAAATGTAATTGATAGAAAAATGGTGGGAAAGTAAGTTTAGTAGGAAAATGTAAAAAAAGTTGTTTGGTTGAAAAAAAAAATTCCGGATAAATTAGGGAAGATTTATAAAGTCTATGTTTGGTTTGAGGTAAAATATAGATGGGAAAATAAGTTACAATTACAAAAATAACCTCTGCTTCTCTCATTCTCAAACACCTTCACTTCAGTTCTCACTTTTATTTCTTCCTTCTCACCCTCTCCTCGCCTCCGTAACGACATGATTTTAGTCTCTGCATCAATCTTCACAGCATTTTCAAGTGTTTGCCCTTCTCTCAGCTTCGATCCTATCTCCAATGTAACTAATTGTAAATTATAATGCGGACACAAATAAAAAAGCTAAAACCCGTGAAACAGAATGGTAATTAATTATTCTTATAGTATCAATCACAGTATCAATCCAAAATTGAAGTAAAAATTGATTTTTTTTTAATTCTCTTAGCTATTAAGTCACTTGAACGAGACTCCTCGTCCTTCTTCTCCTCCTACTCCTTTGCTTCCAATTCCTTCTCTTTCTTCGTCGCAGTTGCCGCCATCTCCGCTTCCTTCAACTTTTTATCGGTGGCCGCCCTCTCCTCGGCGGCTCTGGATTCCTTCTTCGCCTTGGCAGCGCGCACCAACGACACAATCTCCTTCTCGGCCGTGTCGTTTTGGAAGAAGTCGCTCTCTTGTGCGTGAAACAGAATGGTGGCAGCGAGGGTACGCTCGTCATCTCCTTTTTCCCTAATCTGATCATTTAGCTAGATAAGATGAAATACCACATCTCAAGTGGGTATATTTCGTCGGCAATTTTGATCCAAAACACATGCAAACTGGTTGGCTGGCAAAACGATTTAGGTAGACAAATGTTAAAAACATTTAAACCAAACAAGGTCACCTAACAATCCCACTTCTCAAATACTCATCTATCTCAATATAATCCTTCAACCAAACACACCCTTAAGGAAAACACAATTTTTGTGAAACCACCCCTCTTTGTCTCCCGTGGATCAGCTGATTTCCATGAATTGAATAAGATTGATTAATTTTATTTTATTTAATTAACTCGTTTAGAACTATTATAAAAAATTGAATTAATTTAAAAATTAAAACTTGTTTAAAATGTTGAAAATATAATTTATCAGTACAGATGACTTAATTAGCTCCAAATAATTTCAGTAAGTCATTTATTTAGGGGGATATATTGAATTAAGTTTTTAAAAGATTATTTTGAATAAAAAATTTATTAGTATTAAAAAAGTCATTTAGTATTTAATCAGGACTATTAAGATTTTTGTATAAGGTATCCAATCAAAAAAATTTACAAAGAATAAAATCTTTTGGTTTGATAATTCCAATGGTTTTTTTTATTAGTGTGAATTTTATGTGACCTTGTGCTACTTTTTAATGGGAAGAATAAACGTTATATCTTCGTTACAATTTCACCCCAGCCCTTGAAATTTGAGTGGTTTTCATAGCTATACGAAAAAATTGCAAATCAAATCAAATCAATAATTTTTTTTTCAGTTTCTTGAAGAAAATAAATTAAGTATTAAATTCAGGAGTTAGTGAAGTACTCTGATACAGCCAGGGTATATAGAAATTTTGGTTCTACAATTTGTGCATCTGAAACGTTATTCAATGACAACTCTGCTCAAGTGAAGTTTATTCAGAAGCTATGTATATGAAAATTTATATGTATGACATAACTTCTAAAATGTTACTCGAAAGTTTATCCAAAATTTATATATGACAGCGGTTTGATTATTCGGCCACGTTAGTTGCAACATAACAGCTCAATTGAAGACGCTTATTGCAGATTTTATAGTCAACACTTTCTTGTATAAGTATAATAATTCCAAGTTGAATGAATTGGAGTGATAAACGAACCAGGGGCTTCTGACTCGACTCGTAAAGGCCTGAGTTTAGATGCCTAATGTTGGTTGTTAGAACCAGACTTAGACTTTTATAAAAGTTCATTTAGTAAAAATGTCTCAGGCTTCAATTCAAAAGCTCGGCCGTGGAGCCTCTCAAGCTGGCCTAGTATATTAATTTTTATTTTTATTTATTTTTTTATACTATTTGTAATAGCTCTCTCTCTCCTCAATTCATTTCACCCCTATTTTATTAGTTAAACAGACTTTTTGAATAATTTTGTTCTATATTATGTTGTTTCGATATATATTGAATTTATGAATATTTATGAAATTACTAGTATTGTTGATTGTATATTCTGTTTGACTAAATTTTTGTTGTCTTATTTTTTTTAAGAGGCTAAATCAGGCTTTTATTTTTTATAAATAAGACAGGCTACAAGCCGATAATTATATTTATAACAGATGACAGGCTTGGTAAGACCAACACATTTAAACACAGACTTAACATTTTAAGACCAAAGCTCGGCTCGGCCCGTTAACACCCATAGTTGCATCCTCTGTAGAATCTTAAAATGGATTATAATTTTGAATGAGATACAACATGAATTCAGAAGCATTTTTTAAAGGATAGGAAGAAGAGAATAAAAGTAGAATTAGGCTAGTTGGTACAGATTTGAATTATTTTGCAGGGATTTTACTATGCCACCCTAAAAGAATGCAATTGCTATAGTAAAAAAAAAAAAAACATGTTTGATTTGATCATAATTTAAAATAATTTCCTAGAAATTTAATACAATTCAATTGGCCAAAATTAGATGTTACTTAAAAATAATTCAAAGTGAGTTTTGAATGGTCATCAGTAACAAATGCCAACTCATTTGACAAAATTTCTGGCCAAAATACAATACTAAACTACCTATAACCCTAATGATTTAAGTGGTCCCTGCTATGTTGTGTGGTGGAAAAGCAAAAGATAAATGAACGAACACGTAAAGAGTAAACACCTCAATGAAAGCGCGATCCCATATTAACTACTGGATTGATTACATTATGTAATTAACAATGGTAAGGCATCCCAAAAGATATGCTAAACGACATATGATGTAGAAATTCTATATATAAATATGGAACCTCGTCCCCCAAATAGGTTAAGTAAAAGTTCTTAAAGAGAGAGCACTAGCTAATACGATAAATACGGGTAAAACCTACCTAAAGATCTATACTAAAGGAACTCACATAATCTTAACCAACAAGTCAAGATTACAATCAATAACATTCCCACTGACGACCTACTTTGAATCATAACCAACTTCGCTGTAAAAGGGCCAGTCAAACATATCAACAATTTGCAGCTCAATACGCAAGTGAGACTCAGACACTCTTCCATGAACTCAGTGTTTGGCAAAGATTTTCAGGATCAGATTGTTAATGCTGTACAATATCTAAACTCTACCAGTTTTAAGAGTAACAAAGAAAAACTTGTGAACGAAAGGGTGGTTATAAATTATAATCCTATCCTAGGCTTGATACTTCAAAGTGATATCTACTTCATTGCCAGCATACCATATACAGTATTTGATATGTCCAACAGCTGCTGCTCCATTTTTTCTTTCCATTTGAATATATCCATAAACATCTCCTGCAAGAAAAGAGTATGAATAATGAATACATTATGATGAAAGAATAAAAACTTAGAAAATATTATATAAGTGGCATGTACACACTATCAACATCACCTGAAACATTACCAATGAGCTATCAAGGTCTGACTTTGAATTCACGGTTGCAGAAGAATCTGGGGTAACATTAGGTTGATCTTTTTGTCTCGTGGGCACCAACGCCAACACATCACTATTATTTTGAGGGGAAAAATGAGCAATAACTAGATCATAAGTAAAAAAAATTTCCTTGGTTTTTTTTCCTCTCAAAGGAGGCGCACAGGTTATTTATTATTTTGGGGAGGCGGGATTAAAGAATTTGACTTTACACGCTTTACCTCTTCTTGTTAGTCAGTTCTTCATTAAGTAGCTGAGTTGGTATGGCTGAGTTGGGGTCTTTAAGCACAGCCTCTTGGGGAACATTAAGTAACTCTGAACTCCCAATCCAAGTTGCAAATTCATCTTCCTGAATATTGTCTAGGTTGGTGCTTTCTATCCAATCTTTCCATCTTTCTGAAGGAGGACTAAAAGTGGTGCATTCCCTTGATGCTTGGAGATCACTCAATTTATTTGTTATTTCCACAAGCTGTTCCTCAACTCTAGTTTTCCAAGTCACAAATTCACCATACTTGCCCTGTCAATATAAAAAAACTATAGTAAGCCAGAAATCACACAAGGGGACAAATTAATTAATTAAAAGAAAACACATTCAACATAACTTGAATCCCATTAAATCTTAAAGGCTGAAAAAATGGTGGCAGTATACTGCTTAAATACCTGCACACCATTCAAAGAAGCCATGATTTCAGTTAGGCGACATTCAGTCATAGCTTTCCACTTAACAAATTCCTTGTGAGACTGCTGCCATTGAAACTCAACACAAAACATCACGAAGTGCTATAAGAGACAGCAAACCATTCAATTAATAAATTATTCAACATTCACCTTCAGACTAATTTCATTTTTCTCTTGTTTCTTGGCAATGAGCTCCTGCATATCTCTGCTATGCAAATAAAATCATTAAAGAAAATAAAATAGCAACCATACAAAATTATTGAGATTCAGTTTCCAAGTTCAATACTTCTTCATTTGGGCCATTTCTATTTTAAGCAGTTTCAATTCACCAGAAGAATCAGTATTCTGAGAGGGGCCACTGCCTGCCCTAAATGCAGGTGGTGGTATCCAGTAAGGGTCCTGCACCCCTGCCTCTTGACGGACCTTTTCCAAGTCAGCATTCTCCAACCAATACTCCATGATTCCATTGGTGTTGAACCATCTTCGGAAACGCTCGTTTCCTCCAGGTGCCACCTTACCATCAATGTGCTTCAGTAAGTGATCTAAAAGTCCAGTATCACCAATGTGTTTACGGGCAGCATTTCTTAATGCAGGTCGGGTTATTGGGTTTTCAAAAGTTGCACCTTCAGCTTTTAAGACCTCCCACATGTTTTTCTCAGCCAACTTATACCTACAGTACATGATTGCCTCAATTTAATATATGGTACAAATAAAGACGATAACAACTGAAAGAATATTTGATTTTCTTTTACCTCTCCATTGACCATCTGTCCCTACTTTCATGTTTCTTTGTCTTGAGCTTGCTAATGCTTTGCCTCTCACATGACTCCTCTTTCACCTCTCTAAGCTGACTAAGGCTAAGGCGCTTCCTTTTCTTAATTTCTGGTGTAAAGACAGGTTCAGTTTTAATGATTTTTTCTTCTTCATCGTTTGATTCCTCTTCTTTAGAAATATCAGAAGGAACTTGACTTCCATCTTCCTCCCGCTGACCAATGAACAAGACTCGATGATGACCACCCCACTGTTCCATCCCACAGCTGTAAGCTAAACAATTTGAAGTGCTCTGTTGGTCCCTCACAACTTCAGTACACTGCAGATGCACATTCGGATCTTGAGAACAGTCAGCTGCATAAGCAACGCAATAACAATTAACAAATAGACTAAAATCCTGGTGAGAAATCCACTGGTTGACAAATGTTAATTTAGGCAAACATTCTGACATGATATGAATTCAACATCCTACAATGCTGCAACATACACCTGTAACTCGGAACATTAAGATACTGTAGTCATTAGAACGCTTTCAAATATTGTTCCCCATACAATTCTCATCACAAAGGCTATTCTAGTAAATTAAACACCGAAATCCCACGTTCCAAAATTATAACTCACATATTTTTTAAAACAGGTCAGTAAAATCAGAGGAGTTTTGCCTCAAAAAGACCTTTCATGTGAAAGAACCACTAAATCTCCATAATGTGAACCAGACCCAGAATGATTTCTTGACTACCAATACAAGTTATGTTCACAAAACAAAGTCCATTATAATGAACAGAGTAGGAAAGTTAAGTATACCCAAAAGCTCATGCCCAAAATTACATACCTACTGGGGAAGAACACCAGATTCCTTGGCACCTAGGAGTGCCCAAACAGCATATATCTAACTGTTATATTACATACCCAAAAGGACAAAAAATAGGCAAAATACAAACCCTAAATCAAGATCTCTCACCCTATCACCGTCTCCAGTATTCCCAACAATCAAATCAAACAGTAAAAGGCTCAGTGAAACCCTACCACAACAACTAATTTCGAAGGTTAAAAAAAGGTTTAATCTCACCAAAACACACTAGCATCGGAAGCAAATCTGAGAACGCAAAATCCACACGAAACCCCAGATAGATTTGGAAAAATTCATCCGATTCACACACAATGCAATGAGATTAGGGCAACGGAACACCCAAACCCCCAATCGAGAAAGCAATTAGGAAATACCTCAACGAAAAACCTAACAACCGAACGTGCGAAAAGGAACCAAGAAATTGAAAAAAGAGAGAAGAAATTGGAAAAGGGAAACCTACCAATCGGTGCATAAACGAAACGTTGAAGCGCAAAGAAAAGAGGAGAGAGAGAGAGAGAGCGGCCGACAACACAGTGTGTGACGAAACGAAAGAAGGAGCGACCCGAAAGTCGTAGCTGCTGCTCCAAATAACGTTACTAGAAAACGTATACCCTTTTGTTGTTATTATTATTTTTATTTTTTTTACTTTCTCTCTCTTTTAAATGCCGAAACTAAACCCTAACCGCCAAAACCCCCCCACCCAAAAAACCCTCAAATCATTAATCACTAATAATAAAATAATTGATTTTAATTATAATCTTGCGCTCCATTTTTTTTCCTTCCTATTTATCTTGCCTCGAAGTAGTACGTAACCATGGTAAAATGGGTTTAAGAGTTGAGTTAGCCTATTATTTGGTAGTTAGCCTATTTAATTCTTATATTTGATGGGTTGAATTATAATAATTAACTCTTAGGCTGTTTAGTGAGATGTATAAGATATGATAGTATAAACATATATTATAGGTTATGACATTTTTAGTGGCCTGTTTGGTGTGATGTATAAGGCTTGATAGTATAAATTTATATTTTGAAGAATTATATATATATAAATTTTTTTTTTGGTACGCAATTGTATAAATTTTTTATTAAAGGATATTTTTCAAAAATATATCGTATCTAGTATTATACAGTGCATTATCAAATACTAGATGATATTATCTTATACAATACATTAGCATATACAATATCATGCCAAATGCTAGATAGTATTAAAATTTAATCAGATCTTATACAATCAGGCCTTCTACTATCAGGTCTTATAGGTCATGTTTGGTGCATAATATAAGATAAGGCCTGATGGTATAAGACCTGATTGAATTTTAATACTATCCAGCGTTTGGCACGGTATTGTATAAAATAATATATTGTATAAGATAATAGCATCTAGTATTTGGTAATGCATTGTATAATACTATATATGATAAAAATAAATATTTTTAATAAAACTATCCTTTAATAAAGAATTTATATAATTCTTCAAAAAATGTCACATGATATTAATTTTTATAAAAATTTATTAATCAGTGTTCCAAAATATAAATTATTTTTTATAAAAATAAAAATATTCAATATTTTAAAAATTAATTTTTATTTTAATAGATTAATATTAAAATAATATATTAATTTTTGAGAATTACATTGGTCAACGATGTTAATACATCAATATCTTATCAGGTCTTATCCCTCACCCTTAGGCCGGATTAAGTTATACATCGTTTTGATGTATTAAGGGATTATGCTGTATAAGCTTATACTATACGATGGTCACACCAAACAACTGAAAATGTCATAACGTATAGTATAAGCTTATACTATCATGCCTTATACGTCACACCAAACAGACCCTCAGGTCTTATCTTATATTACGCACCAAATATGCCCTAAGGGTGGGATTAGACCTGATAAGGAGTTGATGTATTAACATCGCTCACTAATGCAATTTTCAAGAATAAATATATTTTAATATTAATATATTCAAAAAATAACAATTTTTCAATATATTAAGTTTTAAAATAGTAGAGATTTTTATTTTTATAAAATTAATATATTTTTTGGACACACTGATCAATAGATTTTTATAAAAAATTAATAGGCTTTAATGTTTCCATAGTAATGCAGATAAGTTATCTATATTTACTCCCAAAATGACGTCGTTTTGCGTTAAAAGATTAAAAAATTATAATGATAAAGATTATTATAACTTTGAAATCAATTGTCCAAAAAATAACTTTGAAATAAATTATAATTATAAAAATATCTTGATTTTCACCCCAAAAAACATCGTTTTAGATTCAATGCAAATAATTTATCTAGATTGACTACAAAAAAAATGAACCCAAATTAATATCATATGACATATTTGGAGGGATTATATAAATTATTTATTAAAGAGAATTTTTTTCAAAAATATTTATTTTTATTCTATCTATTATTATTTAGTGCATTACCAAATACTATATGATATTATCTTGTATAATACAATGTCTTATACAATACCATGCCAAACAATAGATAGTATTAAAATTTAATCAGATCTTATACAATTAGACCTTATATAATCAGATATTATACTATCAGGCCTTATCCTATACTGATATACCAAACATGCCCTAGTTTTTTGGTATGATCATCGTGTTGTATAAGCTTATACAGCAGAATCTCTTAATACATCAAAATGATGTATAACTTAATCAAGCTTAAGAATGTGAGATTAGGCCTGATAAGGGATTGATGTATTAACATCGTTAATCTGTGCAATTCTCAAGAATTAATATATTATTTTAATATTAATATAATAAAATAAAAAGTAATTTTTCAATATATTAATTTTAAAAATATTGGATATTTTATTTTTATAAAACTAATATATTTTTTGGACACACTGATCAATAGATTTTTATAAAAATTAATATCATATGACATATTTGGAAGAATTATATAAATTCTTTATTAAAGGGTAATTTTGTCAAAAATATTTATTTTTATCCTATCTAATATTATATAGTTCATTCTCAAACACTAAATGATATTATCTTTTTATAATATATTATCTTTACAATACCATGTCAAACGCTAAATAGTATTAAAATTTAATCTGATTTTATATAATTAAACCTTATACTATCCGAACTTATCTTATACTTTGCACCAAACATGTCCTTAATATGTTAAATTTGTTCCATATAAGAAATGGATTGTAACGGGATGAGACGACTCAAGTCACGTTGACTTGATTAGGTTATGGTTTTTTCTTTGTTCGTGATTCTCACCTAATTAGTTTTCATGTATATATATTTTTATCACGTAATGGTATTATGTCTTATGCTTCGTCATTCTTTATTTCTTTATATTTTATTTGTCCTTTTTAATCTAAAATTTCTCAATAGGCATGCCCTTTCACTTTGTCTTTTCATTAATCTATTTATCTCTTTTAATCATTGTTTATATTCTATTCTCCTTCTTACCTATGGAAGAAAATGATTCCACTCAACTAATATAAGAGTTGTTGATTTATATCAAATTGGTACAAATGAAAAGCGTGGGAAAATAAACTACTTACCTAAATAGAAAAACAAATGAACTAGAACATAATACCAAAAGGGAGAAGCACTACATACATACATGTATATTAAGGAAATACATAAATAGTTAACTAGCCTGACTCAAGTGTTGTAGGTAGGGCAGAAAATGGGCTGGGCTGGACCGAGCTTTGTCCCGAAAAGCTTAAGTCTAAGCCAAAAAATTTCAATTTGGCTTGGCTCGATAGTATAGTGCAAATCTAATTGTTAGCCTGGCTTCTTCCATTTATAAAAAAAATAAATGGTCTGGTTCATTGGCCTGTTAATTTTATTTTCCAAGCAGAACCATGAATCAACTTTACAAAATACTCAAACACATCCAAGCAATATGATGTGTTTGTTGGATTCATGTAGTTATTTTTAATTTACATAGTATCTTCTCATCATCTTCTTTCCCATGCAAATAAAATTACAAGGTTACATAAGTTGGCAAACAATTTGTAAATGTAGAAAACAAAAAACAAGATTAAAGAATAGAAAGAAAAAACAAAGACTAAGAAACAAAAAACTTTTTAATATATTCATATAGGCAATCTCACATGCTGAGATGTTGGTTTCTCCTACATGAGAAATAAAGTTAGATTTCTATTAAAATGTAATCAAATATAATTAAATTATAAAATTATATCATTTGTTTAAATTTATGTCTTTTGTTTTTTCTTCAAGCCATACTTATTATGTAGCCAATCTCCACCACATACTAAACCTTGGATGGTATTTTCAGCCAAGCTAGAATGATAAGCATCAATAACTCTTCCTCCAGTACTAGTTGATTCTGATGCTAGGATAGAGATTGGTACAAATCTTATACCCCTCCCAAAGGTGGTATTGGTGGGGATTGAACCTAGGTCTTCTCACCACCTACTCAGCTCATATACACCAACTAAGCTATCACCATTTGGTACTACTATGAATGATATTAGTTTATGGATGCACCAAGATCACATAATGCTTGACCAATGTAGGTGTTGCCAATGGAACAAGGGATTGTGAAAATCCTTGGATCTTTCAATTTATGTGGCAATTTTTTCAAGAATTTGTTACTTTCTTGGGTGAGAGCAACTGTCTCATACTCTTTGACTCCCTTTTTTTAGACAAGATGTCTTTCATGAACTTTGCATAGCTAGGCATTTGCTCAAGAGCCTCCACTAATGGAACATTGATATGCAATTGCTTCAGCACATCCATGAGTCTCTTGAATTGCTTATGATCCTGTTGCTTATGAAGCCTCTAAAGAAAAGAAGGTGGTGGTCTACATGTTTTTTTAACATGCTGACTATGCTTTTTCTTTGCTGTAGTATTCTGTTCTGGACCTTTGCCTTGAGTTTTAACCTGTTGTTCTCCAATGTCTTCTTCCACTGTAACTTTCTCTCCTGCATTCTGGCCTTCTTACTCCTTCATCTTGTGGTAGTCTTTTATATGATCTGGTTCATCTACAGCTTTCCCACTCCTCAGTGTTATAGCCTTGATCTACTCGTTTCCTTCTCTTCTTGGATTTTCAGTGTTGCTAGGCTGTGTGCCCATGGGTCTGCTCCTCATGGCATCAGCTAACTGCCCTACTTGATTCTCCAAGTTCTTTATTGATGCCGACTGACTCTGAACAATGGCATCATTCCTTGTCATGAATTCCTTCAGCATATTCTCCAACGAGCTAGAGTTGTCAGCTTGCTGTCTGGGCTGTTGGAATTGTTGTTTATGTTGCTGGAATGGTGGCCTTTGCATCTTTGTGCTGGAACATAGCCTGACCCTTGTTGTTGCCCTTGAGAATAAGGAAATTTATTACCATTCCTCCATCCTTGATTGTAGGAATTTGAATATTGATTGTTCCTGTTATATTTTCCTACAAAAAAGACAGATTGAGGATTTTGAAGGCAATCATTATAGATATTAGGACCATTATAGAAAACACATGTTACAACATTAGAAATATTAGAAATTTCATGTGCTTGTTGTGGCTGTGGTTTAGCATCAGTGTTCAGATTTAGAGTTTTAATAGTATTCGTCAAAGAGGATATATGTGCTGCCAGT